ATTACGCATCTCCAAGTACTCCTAATTTGAGTCACCAACCTAATAATTTCCACCTTGACTCAAATTATAGTGCAACGAGTAGAGCTCCACAAAATTTCTCCACCTAAGAAATAAACTCGTTTGCAATGAAACGGCAAATCTCCTTAACGCAGTACCCAAAACTCTCCATATAAACCATCATCCTCTGCACGGCGTCCACAAGCGACACCTGAACCCTACTCTTAGGTACCTAAAATTCCACCGAGAAATTAATGTTTACTAAACAAGGTCGAAGCCACCCTGTAGCAAAAATCATAAAAAAATGCCTGAACAAAAGGCCCCTTGCTGAAACTACCGCCTTCAACATCTCCAAAAGCATTACAGACTTCACTGATACCAAGGTACCTACACTCCATGAGTCCAACCCTAGCAACTAAACATAGTGTATTCGCTGAAATTGGTGACAAAATGGAATCACCAATGCTCTCCCGAGCAATGTTCTGAACCAACCTAGACCCCATCACAAGAGGTACCGTACCAAACTCAATATCCACCATGGTACTGAACTTGTCCAAATGTCTCTTAACTGGTTCTGCGCTTCCCTACAAGATGTACAACTGAGACTTCTTACGTCTCTCTAGTATAATTCAGACACCATTTAGGACCTTCAAGACTCCACCTCCACTAGAGAATTTATATCCTTTTATATCCAGAGTACCAAGCGAGATGAGATTCTTTTCGGTCAGGAACATATCGAACCTCATCAATTGTTTCGACTATCCCATCCCACAGCCTAAATCAGACTCGATCGATCCCAGCAATATGGCAAGATTGGTTGTTTTCCATTACAACACCACATTGCTGAACAGCCTCACATGTATGAAAGAAATTTCGATTGGAACACATATGATGCGTACATGACGAATTGATAATCCACTCCTTGTTATGCCTAGATTCCACTTCAGCTACCACGGTTAACTTCACATCTCTGTTGTATGAAAAAATCATCAACTATAATTATTTCAACTGAAGTCAAAGGTTGCGCTCCACGATTTGCAGCTAAATCACTTTTAGCCTGCAACTTATTGCAATCCTTCTGAATATATCCCTTACTCTGCAGTAGAAACAAAACAAATTGTTGTTATTATTCGATCTGCCCCTCCATCGACCACCATGAGTTGCAAGAGTTTCCTCACCCCTCGATGTAGCTCCAACCAAATGCTTCAACTTCTCATTTGAGTGCAAATCATCAAAGACGTTGTTTATAGATAAAGTATCCTGACTATACAAAATGGTGTCTCAAAACAACGCATAAGAGCCAGGCAGTGAACACAATAAGATCAAAGCTAGATCCTCTTCATCGTACTTAACATCCAACGTCTCCAGGTCTGCAACTATTTCCTTGAATAAGGTAATATGGTCATCTAGTGACCCTCCTTACGCCATGCGATGGGAATACAGTTTTTGCTTTAAAGCCAGTTTGCTCATGAGATTTTTAGTCATGCATAACTGCTTTAGTTTTAACCACAAAGCAGCCGATGTTTTCTCCTTCAAGATATTCTACAGAGTATTGTTGATAAATGAAGATGGATTTGTGATAAAGCCTTGTGATCCCTCCTTTGTTTTCCTTCTATTGTCCAATCAACTGGCATCTTCTCAAAACTCAGCAGCGCATCGTCCAAATCCAACTGCATCAGAATAAACCTCATCTTCACTTGCTATAAAGAAAATCTTGTAATTTGATCCAGCAACGGAATGTCATACTTTATAGTAGTCATCTCTAAAAAAACCTCAATCAATCCACGGAAGAAGAATCAAGCTCTGATACCTTTTGTTGATCCCAAAGGGTAAAAAATGAGATTTAATGAGGATGTGAAGTATTGGAGATCATAACGAGAAAACAATAATAAAAGTAAAGAAATAAACAAAGAGAATTAATGCAGATGAACGATGTATTATAAACTGACAATATGGAGAGAAATTACAGACACGGTAATAATGCATAAACAAAACTGACAGAGGAGTCTTGTATTTATAGGCCACGTTCCAAACCCTAGAAGTGTACTAAAAGGTAAGAAAATATGTTAAAATTAGGTTACAATGGAGCAAAGGAAAAAAAATCCTATGTTTCGTTGTTTAACCTGGACACAAATTGATTTCATTCCAAGCTAAGTGAAATTACGCATTTCGAAGGACTCATAATTTGAGTCACCAACCTAACAGCATAGAAGATGGCAAATCACAAGAGCTAAGCACCAATGGCAGTCCTGGAAGTTCAATAACTTCACTGTTTTCTCCTGTAGAAATCTCATTCTTATTGAAATACAAGTAATAAGCATAAAAAACAGTAGCCGGTTGATTCCAAAGAAACGTGGATGGGATCTGAAGCCGATTTGCCACTTCACCTGCCCACGTAATGAGAACAGAATATTCTATATGTGTAATCGGATGGCCTTCATTTTCTTTAGCCATGATAAGGTTTGTCACAACTTCAGAACCGCAAGTTCTAAGAGAGAACATGAAATCTTGGAATCTTTGGCTCCTGTCCAGCCATCATCGCGACCATCTGAAAAGGGAGCCAAAGTCAGGCCTGGTATACCCGACCCAGTTTCGGACATGCGACCAATTGCAGAGAGACTAGTGGAGAAGGTGACCTTGGCTCCCATTTGCAGAAGGCGCTTTGCAAATTGGAGAGATGGGTTTACGTGGCCCTGTCCTGAAAGGCTCACGAGAAGAATATGGCAGTTCACCATTTTGGAAATTGTAATTTTTGTGTGTGTTGTGGTGTGGGGCTAACTGGGATGGAGAAGTAAATGGGTTGGGTATGGAATTTATAGCAGATTGATGGTGTTGACACGTGAAGTTTCCGATTACTCAAGCTCTTAGCACAATTCAAAAAAGACAAGTTGCTATTAACAGCATTAGTCTTGCATGATAAACGTTGCCAAATTTAGCCTTTTGTTTTCTTAACAAGAAAACATGTCTTTTTATGGTAAAAAAAAAAAAGGTTGAACCCCAACCTTAAGAGTCTTTATCGTCCCGTCCCGCCCCGTCCCGTCCCGCCCCTAGAGTTTTGTGAGGAAGGTAAATCGCAGAATGTGCCCCAGCAGGTCAGGGAACAAGAGCTGCCTGTATACTGCGCCTACAAGGAGTCCAATTCCATGTCTCAGGAATTGAATCCCCACACTACGGCTGCCAGCAAGGCGTGAGATAACCTCACTCATATCCTTTGCACCATTGAGTTATGCCCCGAGAGCGTCTTTTTATGGTCTTTTGAGTTTTGTAATCGCTGCTTGTTCGACATTGCTTAAAGAGTTGTTAAGAATTTGATATCGAAGTTGATTAATTTTATCATAAATTTTATAGGAGACACATTTTTTCAACTTTTCAATTAAATATTTCATCCACTTATTAATATTTTGTCAAATAAATGTTCATCAATAATCATTGCAATGTGTTGGTCCTGCCATTGGCTTAAATTACTTACGGTGACAAATAGTGATGAACGCGAAAAAAGGGGAAAAAAATCTAAATTAAGTATTTTTCTTGAAAAAAATTGAAGTTAAACAAATGCATAGGTTAGATATATCGAGCAAAATCTTCTCCAATCTTCACGGTATTCTAAAATTTGATAATAACTTTGAAATTTTTGTAACGTATTTATGATTGCACGCAACTCTATAATTTGAATCGTTTTTCTTTTATTGCTTCTATCTAATTTTTCTTCTTCTATTGCTTACCTCAAAATACTTACAAATTTTAGAAGAAAATGGAAATTTAGCCCTTGTTTGATTTTCATTAAATTACATTACATTACATTCTACTTTTTCTCTCTCCTATTTTCAACCACACAATCTTTCATAAAATAATATTACACGTAAATCGAAAATTTTTCTTTCTTTTTCAACCACTCATTTTTCAAAAAACACTATTCTATACATTAAATTTTCCCCGTAATGGGGGCCAAACAGGGGCTTAATTGGAGAACAAAACACGACACTAGGTCATGACCAAGCGAACTTACAAATTTCAGGTCTTGTTTGAGCCCCATTATTTTTTCATTAAAATGAAAAATATAATCGTCAATCACATTAACAATCTGTTTGGGAGGGATTTTTTATCCCAAAAAATTGATTTTTTTATCATTATTTCACTATTCAAATCGTAATTTTTGACTTCTTCTCTCATAGGTGGACCCCACTTTTCTTCTAACGGTCAAAAAAATAATTCTCAAAATCCCTTCCAAACGGGACCTAAGTCACCATATTTGATTTTTTATCTCTTGTGTGTGGCTCATAACGACTATATTTTTTATTTTCATTTTTATAATAATGTGGCTCAAATCAAACTCTTAACTTCGAAATCTCACATTAAATACATATATAGTTACAATAACTCATTTTTATTAAAAACTAGTTAGGAACACTTGGCGTAGAAGTACGTAGAAGAGCACCAATGATGGTGGGCAGATGATCATCAAGAAATTGAGGAGCAAGTCGATAAGCGCATGCCGGCTCCAATTTTTTCATCCAAAAAATCAATTTTTTGACCCTTTTTCCTTAGTCGGGACTCAAATGTGAGAGAATTGGTATGTAGAGTACGAACGTCATTATTAGAGGGTATTTGGTAGTCATTTTTATGTAAAAATGTATTTTGGAATAGTAAATTGATGGAAAATGTGTGATTGAAAAATAAAGAAAAATTTTGATTTACGTGTAATATTATTTTAATGAAAAATATGTGATTGAAAAGAAGAGAGAAAAATACATTTTGAAAAAAATGAATGCCAAACGGGACCTTAATTTTACGGTATACGCCATAAATAGTATCTCTCTTTTTAAACCAAAATCCTGCTCACAATCTTGAGAACCTCTTCCCGCCATTACTTCATTAATTCCCTCAAAAATCCCTCACTCTTCATCTCCCTTCCCTGCACACACTCAATGTACTGTATTGAAACCCTAATTTCATATCTCAGCAAAAACCAAAAACTCCAACAAAAAATGGAAAAAAGCGAAGCCATGGAATCATCATCTGTTAAGCTTAATTCCAAAAAGCGAAAAAAGCAATCCCCATCACCACCCATTCCTTTAATCGGAATCTTCACACGTAGCAAGTCTCAGGTGAGCGTCCACAGAAATCGCTCTGGCTGGAGCAGTACATATGCTTCTCGAAAATCGAACTTCCACTCTTGATCAAGTAGCTCAAACCTATTTTCCCGGAAATTGAACTCTGTTCAACCCGGAGTAGTGGAGGAAACCGGGACAGAACCAGTAGAAGCTTTTCTGGAGTTAAATAATGAGATTAGTTATCGGATATCGTCCATTAAAGATCTTCGGGTCCATAGGGTTTTCTCTCCGGCCGTTACTCCGATTCTTGAGGAAGAGGAGGGGAAAATAAATGAGAAATCAAACTTATTACAGAATATGGATCTGGGTGCGGATTCAGATCGTTTTACGGATCTGAACGTGGGTAATAAAAAGGTTGAGGAAAATAAACAATCTGGGGAGACAGTGCCGTCGGAGGCTGACGCGAAGGAAAATAATAGCAAAAATGATGTGAATTTGACGAAGAATGAGGCAATTTCAGCAAATGGGTCTATTTCCAAAAGTAAAACGGTAATGAAACAGCTTTTATCGTTTAAATTATATAAACAAAGAATAAGATGCAAGCTCTGAAATTTGATGTGCAGCAAGCTACTGTTGTAAATTTTGCTCAAATGATTGACCCCTAGCTCTGATGACAGGTTGATTAGTGGCCATGCTTTAAGTTTTAATTTTTGTATTTTATAATAATAATATTGATATTTAGGATATATTTGAAAACCAGATGATTTTATTTGATGATCAATATGCAGAGAATTTCCACCAAATGTGCTAATGTTGAAAACTTTGGTCTAACTCTTATAGGTTATAAATGCAGGTTACAAAAGGAAGGTTTTCAAGACCCCGAGCTCTTTTAGCTATAGAAGATTGCTACCACATTTGATGGACATTGTGAAAGAAGAGTCCAGTAAGCTCCTTTACATGCATATTTTGTTTCGTCTTTTGTCTCATGTATTGAGAATGCGAGTGTTGTGATAAATTATATGATAAAATGGCTTCATGCTTGGAACTAATAGTTTCAATACGTAAATATCTTCTTCTTTTTTTCTGCAGGTGTTTCAGATATTGAAATAGTCGATGTAGAATTTCCAAATAAATTGCAGGAGTTCAGGAGTCCTGAAATGCCTTCAATCATGGAAAATGATTGTGCTGCTAAATTTGAGTGTATTGGAGCACAGACTAATCGTACAGACGATTTCAAGGATGAAGAGATTCAAAAGTTTGATAAAGAACAGCCCTGCACGCTGCAGAATTTGAGTAGTGTAGAACATCAGTTAAAGCATAGAAGTCACGAGAATGGTGCGAGTGGAGTTGAAGATTCTGTGAAAGAAGAAGAGCAAATTCTAATGAAACCTGATCCTAATGTTTTCAGTGCAACAGCGGTAAGAGATAGTGGGAGAAATATGGAAGTCAAAACTTTGCTTATTGAGAGACCTAATCTAAAGGGCACAAGAGTTGGGTGCACGAGTATTGGCAATAAATCTTGCCATAGTTCAAACGGGAAGGGTAACATCAATTTGAGGACTGAAAAGGTGACTTCTTTCAATCCATGAACGTGGTTGATCTTCTTTTCTTTGACTATCGATTTATTTTTTGGTCTCTTTTTTGCTTGGAGAGTGACTCTTGAGGGAACTGTTTTTGTTTACATAAAATTTCTTGCATTTTGCCCAGTTTCTTACTCCTTGTTCACAACCAAGGGTCTTCAAAACTCCAAGCTCAGTTAACTATAGAAGACTGCTCCCATATCTGATAGAAGTTGCAAAAGAGAACTCCTGTAAGTTCTCTTGTTCATTTTAATCGAAGAGAGAATATTACATTGTGAATCACCCTATTAGAGGTAAATTGCTTGCAAATTAATTTATGCTGAAACATTTCTTTATAGGTGACTCAAAAATAATCCAACACCGAAAGCCTCAGACAGATTCGAAAGATATACATCAACTATCATGTGGTACTTCTGATGAAGAAAATCCTGGGAAGAAGATGAGGATGGAGAGTTTCTCTAAGAAACCTCACACTGAAGATGAGGAGCAAAATTTACTCCCTGCTATACTCCCCCCTGTCAATGGTTCATCCAGTGATCCTGATAATAATCTGAGTCCATTGCACTCCACCAATGATTCTTCTAAATTAAGGCCAAGTTCAATTGTTGCTGATGACACCACTGATCTGATCGTGCCACTTGATTTACCCAAGGAAAGAACATTGGCGGTTCAAAATACTCCCCAGAAGTTTGAATCAGAAATTCCCCATAATGATACCATGGATCATGAAGGGAAATCAAATTATTCAGCAGTTCAATCTTGCTCTGTAGTTGAACGCGATATTTTGACAGAGGAATTTTGTTCTAAACTCTTAGAACCTCAGCCAGTAGATACAAAAATAAAATGCATGGCTATTAGTGTGGAAGCTCATAAATCCAATGAAAAGCTTATTCAAGATGTTACTTTGTACCAAAGCCCGTCCCAAATTGAAATATCTGATAATTTGGTTGCTCCGATTGATGGTCTTTTCAAGGGAGTACTAAAGAAAAATCCAAAAGGGTGCGGAGGGCCTTGTAATTGTCTGAACTGTGCTTCATTTCGTCTTCACGCTGAGAGAGCATTTGAGTTTTTAAGAAATCAGATGCATGATGCTGGAGAAGTTGCTTGGAGCTTGTTGAAGGAATTAGCAAATGTTCGTCATATATTGGAAAAATCTGCTGTTAATTATAACAATCTTACAACCGTCCAACTTAATCAGGTAAATTATACTTGAAACAATGATAAAAAAAAAAAAATTATGGATTTTCTTGCTGTTGCTGTTTGGTCATGCTCTAGTTGCAACTGATTTCGGTCTTCCTCTGAACATGTCTTCTGAATCTTGAAAATTTTTATTTTTGATAGACAGAGAACTTGTGCCTTATTTATGCTTGTGCGCTTTTCTACTGCAGCATATAGCCATTTCGTATATTTATAAACTTATTATGGTTGCAAGACGCTATTCGGTATTCTAGTGGAGTTCGAAGTTTAGTTCTTTCTGTCAGTGCCAAATTTAAGAATTACTAGCTGATAATTTTACCATTTGGAGAATCTTAGGATACTTGGATTATAAATGTTTTTATTAGAGAGCATAGATGACTACACAAATCAAGGCCAGAATATATTTAATTTCACAGATTATTGCTCAAACCAGGCCTAAATGCATTTCACGTGTACAGCTCAATTGTTTCTTTCTTCCCATGGATAGAAGTATAGAACCATTTTCCTCTATAAATGAGAAACGTCTCGTAAACATGTACAGAATAATTGAGAATTCGTTAATGCAAAAAATGTTTCATTCCATTTTCATTTTTATTATGGTAACAGAGCATATTGATCATTGGGATCTCTAGCTTCTGCCAAATCTATTTTTTCACCATGGCTGAAAACAGCACCCAAACATCAACGCAAACACCTTCCCTGCTTATTAGTGATCTCATCTCACCCTACTTCCTAACTGCTGCCCATAATCCTGGGGGTATCTTGGTCCCGGAACTTCTAACCAGCGATAATTATCCCACATGGCATCGCTCCATTTGGAGAGGTGCTGTGACATGATTCTCTCTTAGCTGCTTAATTCTGTTGACAAGTCTCTCTACCAAAGCTTGATCTACTATAAGAATCCATCAGTTGCATGGACTGATTTAGAGCATCGTTTCTCTCAAAGCAACAACCCGCCCTTATATCGTCTCAAATGGGATCTCATTAATCTCCGCTAAGACTCCATGACAATCACGGTTTACTACAATACCATCAAAGGCCTCTGGGATGAGTTACATACTCTTACTGAACCAAGCACCTGCACATGCCCAGCTTGACCAAATGACCAGAAAATAAAAAATATAGAATGGCTCTTCCAGTTTCTCATGGGTCTAAATGATGCTTTCAGCAACACTAGAAGCAAAATTCTAGCCATGGACCCTCTACCCACAATCACAAAAGCATATGCAACCATCCACCAAGAAGAAACTTAACGTCACCTTCACATTCCATTGTTTCCCACACCAGAAAATTCAACCATGGTTGTTACTCAACCGTATCAACCCAACTTTCCACCCCATGCGAAAAATGTACACATTGTGGAAAAGATGGTCTCCCGATTAAAGCGGGACAGGGCGAATTCAAGTCGGGATCGGGGCGGGGCGGGGTAGTTTCCCTGCCCCATTTATTTTTTATTTATTTTATTTTTTGGTTTTATTTTTTTTATGTCCTTAGTAAATATTCTTACTTTTTTACCAATTTGTTAAAAACAATTTATATTCTCTTCAAAAATAATTGATAAATCTATTATTTTTGTTTGATAAAAATTTAAATTTGAAATTAACTTTACCCAGGGCGTGGATTATGTTTCCTGTACTCGTCCCATACCCACTCCAGGGCAATGACCTTCATCCCGTACCCGTCTCATTCACCCAGTTAGGAGGGTAATTCCCTACCCATTCAAGCAGGGCCCACGGGTATCGAGTTGAACGGATTTTTTTACCATCTCTAGTTGTCTATGTTATGCCCATACTTTGAAATTTCATCGTGATAAATTTTCACCTCATGCCTCTCCATGTGTTATCCTTGGCTATTCTCTTAGTCGCTCAACCTATCGTGCATGACATATCCTCTTAAAGAAAAAAAAAACTTATCCCGTGATGTTTGTTTTGTGGAAACTATATTCTCTTATGCTGATTTCAAAAGTTATCAACTTATGCCTCACCAACTGGTGTTTTCGAGGCTTCAATGGTCCTACCTGACCTTACACACACCCTGCAGTTCCCCATCTCTTTGAACCTAAGCTTCCACCTACTAATGGTTCGTCACATGACACTTCCATGAACCTCCACTTGATCCCTCTCCAAATAGATCCCCAGTTACACATGCACCTTCCAATGTTCGCATTCGCCCACAGCGACAAATAACCCATCCCTCATATCTACAAGATTATGTTTGCTCTGACCTAACAAGTTCTTTACATTCCTCACTTACTTGTATGGTTCATTCTTTACCTAATTTTCTTTCTTATCATTTTTTTAGTCCTAAACATTTTGCTTTTCTCACATTTGTTTCCAAAAATGTTCATGATCTACACCTCTATTCTCAAGTTGTCCACTTTGCTCATTGGCGGGTTGCTATGGTTGATGAAATCAAAGCTTTAGAAGCCAATCAAACTTGGACCCTTGCATCCCTTTCTCCTGGAAAGAAAGCAATTGGTTGCAAATGAGTTTATAAAACTAAGCTCAATGTTGATGGATCCATTGCTCGTCATAAAGCTTGTCTAGTTTGCCAGGGGTTAAAATCAAGTAGTAGGTTTGGATTACTATGATACTTTTGCCCCTACTGCTAAACTTGTCACTCTTTGTTGCCTCCTTGTTATAGTTGCAGCTGAAAATTGGTTTCTAAACCAAATGGACGTTAGTAATGCCTTCCTTCATAGTGATCTTAATGAAGAAGTGTACATGCAATGGCCACCTGGTTATTAATGGGGAGAGTCTGTCGATTACACAAATCCTTATATGGTTTGAAATAGGCTTCTTGTCAATGGTATTCCAAACTATTTCAAGTCCTTGCTTTGGCTGAATTCCACCAATCCCATGCTGATCGTAGCCCCCGTTTGGCCCCCATTTAATGAAAATGAAAATGGGTGGAATAGTGTTTTTTTGAAAAATGAGTGGTTGAAAAAAAAAAAAGTTTTCGGTTTATGTGTAATATTATTTTAAGAAGAGAGAAAAATGAAATGTAATGGAATGAAAATTAATGGGGGCCAAACGGAGGCATAGTCTCTTCACCAAAACCTCACAGCAATACTTGCATACGTTGATGACATCCTTGTAACTGGCAACGACATTTCTTCCATCACTGCTCTCAGGTCTCACTTGGCTATCTTGGCAATATGAAATACTTTCTTGGGAAGTAGCTCGCTCTCGTGATAGAAGATTCTTCTATCAAAGAAAATATATTTTAGATATCTCGTCTGATACTTGCCAGCTTGGCTCTCGACCTGCTCATTTTCCTATGCAGCAAAATCTTAAGCTCAACAACTCAGATGGCACTCTCCTTCTCGAACCGGTACCCTATCACCGTTCGACCGGTCATCTTCTCTATTTAACCATTTCACGACCCTACATCGCTTTTTCTATCAATCTTTTAAGTCAATTCATGTAGGCTCCTCGAGAACCGCATCATCTAACTGCACTCTGATTACTTCAGTATCCGAAGACCACTCTCGGCTATGGCTTGTTCTTCCCCTACATCTGCAGCTTTCAATTGTCTGCTTACTGTAATTCTGACTGGGCTAGCTGTCCAATGACTAGATGTTCCACCGCTGGCTTTATCATTAAGCTTGGTGACAGTCCTATCTCTTGGCAGAGAAAGAAGCAAACTACTGTGTCTCGCTCATGGCTGAAGCCGCGTATTGTGCCATGGCGAATACCTCTTGTGAACTCACTTGGCTATGCTCCCTTCTCCAAGATCTCACAATATCCCATCCACATCTTGTCCTGCTTTACTGTAACGATCAGACTGCCATTCACGTTGCCCGCAACCCTGTTTTTCATAAATGCACAAAACACATTGTAATAGATTACCATCTAGTTCATGAAGCCATCCGTGCTGGCCTTCTCACACCTACATATTCCCCAACTTCTCAACAGCAAGCTGACCTATTAACAAAACCTCTAGGCCGTGACTTGTTTACCTTTTTCCGTTCCAAGTTGGGCATTACAGACTTTCATTCTCCAACTTGAAGATGAGTATTAGACAGCACAGATGATTACACAAATCAAGGCCAGAATACATTTAATTTCACATATTATTGCTCAAATCTGGCCTAAATGTATTTCACATGTGCATCTCAATTGTTTCTTTCATTCCATATATAGAACCATTTTCCTCTATAAATGAGAAACCTCTCCCTTTTAAACATATACAGAATCATTGAGAATTCGTTAATGCAAAGAATGTTTCATTCCGTTTTCATTTTTATTAATTTTGGTGATTGCTGGTATGTAATTAGGATTTTACATGCCCTTTGGAGAATTGGGGATCATATGCTTTGATTGGCTATTTGTTCGGAGTCTCTTGGGGTGCACACGTTTTTTGAGGTTCACCAGAGATTGCTTTGTTGGGGTTTATCTTTTTGTGAAAAGGAATATTTCTATGTTTGTGCTGTGATGCTTCCATACAGAGAAATAAAGAATTGATACATCTTTGTAGACTTTTTTATGGCCGATAATTTAAGATACTACTAAAACTAAAATCTGAAGAGGTGCATTAAAGCCATACTCAATATCAGCTTCGAATTGTTTCATTCATCATACTAGATTTTGAAATCTGCTCGTCAAATTCCACAGTTTTTGAATGAAGAGGATGTTTCCTGTCTAGTGATTGAATATCTGTTCTTAACTCATTAAATCAGATTCTTTAACCACCCGTTCATGTGAGAATATTTAGAAGGGAACTGTCGAAAGATCTTAGGCGTCGATTCTAATAACGAAGCTAAATGTGTAAGCATGCTCAATTACATGGTATAATATCAAGGCACTCAACATTTTTTCTCCATTCTTTATTACTAGTTCTCCAAGGTTTTAGATTTCCTATGATATTTATGTAGGCTTTGTCGAGTATTATTTCAAGCATTTGATATTAACTCTGATTATAATGTTCTTCCTCATTGTTTCCTATTTTAAACACAATATGGTTCTTGTTATTGAGTTAGTTTTCCTGCACTTTCATCATCTCATATTACCAAGTTCATTTATATGGCATTTGAGGCATCCACTCGGACAATAAAGTTCCAAAATTTTCATGACCATCAATGGAAAACAATGGATTCTATCAGGATGGGTTCCTCTTCTCATTACATTAGTATTCATTTTGTATTTACTTATTTCAATACCATCTCTTGTATTTGGTTTGGAGAGTTCAATAACTCAATTTGTT